ATATAAAGCAATGTTTTCTTTGATGATACAAGAGAGTCGATTTTTACACGGGTTGTTTTAAATTGCGACCTTGAAACATGTCGGACGGGTCGTAAATGTACAGGATGCTACACCAGATTCAACGAGAGGCGTGTGTGGAGTATATGCAGGACCGCCATTTATTGCCTCGGACGCGTACCTGTGCTTGTGCTCGTACCATGAATATACAAGAGTTCTCACGCAGCCCGGATGGATTTGTTTTCCGATGCACACATTGCAGCAAGTCCATCCAAGATCGAGGAATGGGTCGAACGTTTCGAGCTGTGGTTCATTCGCAAAGGTGGTACACAGAATCAGTCAGCCCTATTTCTTACTGCTAGCGGCTGTGGCCTGTACTCCCTGTTGAGAAACCTGGCGTTCTTTGAGGCTCCAGCCAAACTACCATACGAGTCCCTGAAATCGCCGCTGCTCAACCACCTGCTACCCACTGGATTCCAAACACATGAAAGGGCCAAATTCAACTCCATGATTCGGACCGATGATGTTTCCTGCCGTGAACAGCAGCTGAACAAACAAGAATTACGCTGCAACTATGGTGATCGCCTGGAAGAATAAATGTGTGCCCGCTTGGTGGCAGGCATCAATAATCTGACTCTTCAACGACAGTTGCTGGAGAAGAAAGATTTAACTTTTGCCGATGTCCGTAAGATCTATAAGGAACACGACGACCTGATGTTTCATAATTGTCAAGTTTAACGGAGCTCCAGCCAACTTGAATATTTCATGGACTCTACGCCTGTCCATTTCCCTACGGGCTTTTGATTCTCTTATATTCGGCTCCTCATTGTTAAGTATAAGGAAGTTTCTACGAAGTTCAACTTTAGGATACCTACTGCAAGGAGGCTACTCGTTTGCTTCTTCAGCTCCTGCAGCTCTTCTTCTAACCTATCTCTCTTCACATGTGAGAATATATTTCTACCCGCTCCAGGTTTGGACCGGCGGTGTGGCTTGGGTCGGTTTACACCCTGACGTACCTTGGGGTTGACCAAAGGTAGCGGCTTTTGTAACGGTGTGGATACCGCTGCAGCCTTCTAAGTCTTCGGCAAAACTGTTTGCCAAAGAACTCTCTCCCTTCGGTTTACTCTTTTCTCGACTGCAAGCGACCTGAGCGTAAGTGCTCAAGGTTCCTCTGGGTGGTTTCGACGATTTTGGGCTCTCGAGACGCTCACTGTTCAATTTGCCCCTGGTCTCTGATTTCCACGTCGTGAACGCAGACCTTGCCACGTCCTTCCCCTGCTCACTGATCCACTTTACCCAGCTATTTGCGAGGAAGAATACATAGTGGTCTTTGAAAATACCTGAACAACCAGAATGTGCCCGCCTTTTGCAGGATTTGCATTCGATTCCTTTGACCACCTTATTCCCGCAGCTATCCTTGAAACAAGGACAGGAAACGAGTCATTTTTAGTACAGGTGTTCAAAAATGCAATACGGTGATATGGAAAATGAAAGGTTTGTACGACACAAATTCAAATTAACCAAACCAAGTGGCTATGCACGGACTTTTGGTCCGCGCTGTTCAGTGCTCTTTGCAGAGCACTGTAAATAGCTACGATCGAAAATTTCGGAGGAATAAAGGGTAAAACACAATAAAGTGTCAATTACTGGCAATTGCATTTTGCTTTTACGATAGAAACAATAAGCAAATCAGAGCACGTCAAAATTTTCAACCGCGCGCCAACGTAGCGCAAGGTTCAGGACCAGGTCAGATCAGGTCCAATGTCCAATGTCCAATGTCCAGTTTTCAGGCGGAGAAAGCTCGCTGGCTTGTAGTTTTGCTTGTTTTTTGATCTATACGGTAAATTCTGATGTTCGGAAATTTCTGTTTTGAATTCGTTTATTCTTGTAATCTGAAAGTGTTAGCAAAACAAAGGTTAATGGGTTACTTTTTGACGGTGTAGCAGGTTACTTATCTGTAGCCAGTTAGCTGAACCGAATTGCATGCTTTACGAGGTTCACGGCGTGGATAGTCCAGAGGTCCACCTGACATTACTTCGAGGGTACTCAAGGTTGCTCTCCACTGCCGAGGTGATGCCCTCGGCGAATTTATCTAGTCTTTGCTTAAAGCATGCTGTTGCTATTAGGGCTCACGTTACCATCCGGCACCCCCCCTTGGCGATTTTAGTTAAAATAAAATTACTACT